GGCAGGGGTAGTTGGGTGTATGTTTGGGGATTTTTAATGATTCCAAAAGGCATCTTAAAAAGTCACACTATTTTGGCAGTTCTAAGATGCAACTTTTACTGCAGCAACTGACTGCTGCAAATATTAATAGCGGCACTTACCAGCAACATTGCTCTCAAGCACCTCATTCCTTTCTGGGGCTCCTGAGATCAAACCAAGTCTTCTGCATATGCGTGGGAGTGGGGGGCGCACACACCCTTTCCCACCCACAGAGGCATACCATACAACCGAAAGCCAGATCAAATTGAAGACATTGATCATTTTTAGGGTTAAATGGTAGAAAAGGGAAAACTGTCAACACACTTTTTAATTCGAACTATTTAGGTATTGCAAGATTTTCTCCCTGCTGGTGGAAAATTAAACTAACAATTCTAAGTTAATGACTGGAGGGTAAACGGTTCCTTCTTTATAAACTAAATAGGATTTATCAAAACTTGTATTAAAATTATTTTCCCCCAACTTTAACTTATAAATCCAATCAAGACATGACTCTAGAGAACTCTTAGGCTCCAAGTGAGGCTTCAAAAAGTAGGGTGTATTTCCCTACAGTTAACACATTCAGAAGCTAACTCCACATCACCAGGTGAGCTCCCGACACCTGGAGGGCAAATGTAGGCCAATGCCCACCCTCCCTGGGTGTAGTTTTCACAGGTGATGTCAGAAAAATGAGAACAATGTAGTAAATGATTCCTAAAGCTGAGTGTTTTCAATTTAAAGATTTTTGTTGTTGTTGTTCTTAGATGATCTTTTCCTAATACTTGGCATTAAGATGGTTTTTTTCATAAAAGCTTGGTGATGCGTGTTAAGAGTTTTTAAAATGTCCTAACTTGGCGAGATAAAAAAAGACTGGGAGCCCTAGGCCAATGCCGTAAAGCTTTTTTTTTTTTTTTTTTCCTCTTTCTTAGTGCTTTCTTGGACCAGGCAATCTTCATTTGAGAACCACTAGTTTACACAGCTGAGCCAAGGAATTTGGAGTCAATCGGTGCTCATCTGGGTATCAAAATGGTGGCAAACCCCAAGTGCAACTAACCACCTACAGAAAACCAAAGTCTAACTTTAGTCAACACTTGGGAGTGGGGATAAAGAATGTTGTCTTCAAAGCTCCTGGTCACTCTGGACACCGTTCTCCTGCTGCACCCTACGGCCTCCTCCTCCTGGTTCTGAAAAGGGTGGTAAAGCTTTTGGAGGCCCTGTGCCAACCTGTGCTCTCCCCCATCGTTAATCTGGGAACCCCAAATCAAGACACTTGACCCTCCTGGGGTTCTGAGAGGTCAGCCCTATGGCACCAGAGGCTTTAGGGAATGATTCACCATATTGTCAGCTGAAATGCTACTGAAGTGAATGTCCAAGACAAGCTTCTCAGTATTGCTCCATCTCACTCAATCCAGGTGACCCTAAAACCCATCCGCCCACCCAGAACAGTCTCACTGTGCAGTTGGTTCAGAAAACCAAAGGCAAGGAGGGTCACTCATCCCTCCGGAGCCTCAAACTGAAAATAAGAGAAAAAATTGCCAGGTGCGGTGGCTCACACCTGTAATCCCAGCACTTTGGGAAGCCAAGGCTGGCAGATCACAAGGTCAAGAGATCGAGACCATCCTAGCCAACATGGTGAAACCCCGTCTCTACTAAAAATACAAAAGTTAGCTGGGTGTGGTGGCGCACACCTGTAGTCCCAGCTACTCGGGAGGCTGAGGCAGGAGAATTGCTTGAATCTGGAGGCGGAGGTTGCAGTGAGCTGAGATCGTACCACTGCACTCCAGCCTGGGTGAAAAAGCGAGACTTCATCTCAAAAAAAAAAAAAAAAAAAACAGCCGGGATAGGTCATAACAGGCCATCATTTTTTCAACTAAAAATATAAGAACGTATTGCCATAAAATTTTAAACTTTCTATTTTCCAGAGGCTATACCTATTTTTAATTTAATTGTATGCTCCTTAAACTTTTCTCTATTTAGACTTTCCTCAAAATGAATTATAAAACACACACACACAAACACTTCAGTAAAAAAAGAATCCATAAACACTAAATATTTTAATACGTTTATTTACCTCCTCTCTAACTGAACTAATCAGCAGCAGATAATATATTTGTTGCAAAGAGAGTTAATTTCCTAGATTAAACATGCACATAAAAACATAAAGGTGACAATATTTGGAGATATATGACATTAATAAAGGTAACATTTATGGGGCTAGCCACTGGGCTAAGCACTCAACTTGGATCACCTCAGTTAATCCTTACAGCAAACCTATAAAGTAGGTGCTATTCTTATTTCCATTTTATAGACAAGGTTATAAATGAGGAACCTCATTACTGTAATTTAATCTTCACCAACCCAGAATTTGAGTTCAGTGTTTACTCTGGCTATTAAAAGGTTGAATAAGCAAATTAGAAATTAAACGGGATTTCAGAAGGTATATTTAACCTACTAGAAGGTCCTACATTTTAAGACATACTAAAAAACAGATGCTAACTGCTTCCAACAGGATATGTTTGGGAAGATTCTGCCTGATACCACACCACACTAAAACACTTTAAAATTCAAACTTTTACGTGTTAAGATTGAGTTTCCTCTCCCTATTACCCCCAATGACTGGTCCAAATTAGAAAGGTATCATTCTACCTCTATGGGTGGTACAGTATGGTGGATGTCAACTGGGGCTCCCAAGGTGTATGTCTCTCCTCCCCTGACACTATCCAAAACTCTACACACCCCCAGCCTCCCCACAGCCCGGTGCAGAAGCCAGCCTGAGGATGAACTGACCCAGGGAGGAGTAAGCGGAGAGATTAAAAAAAACACACACACACAAAATCAACTGGATGGTTGAGCTGCTGGTTCACACCCACCCTGCAGTCCACCCTATCCCTGCACACTGCAGGTACATGAGCTGATTAATCAATTCCTTGTGCCATGGGAGCCCTAAGTTAGGTTTTCTAGAATTCGGATTTAGGATTTTTGGTAGTCAGTCTGAAAGAATCCAAACTGATAAATGGGAAACAAGAGCTTCTATAGCCTGAATGTTTGTGTCCCTCCCAAATTCATGTGTTAGAATCCTAATCTCCAAAGTGATAGTATTAGGGATGGAACCTTTGGGAGGTGATCAGTTCTTGAGGGTGAAGTCCTCATGAATAGGATTAGTGCCCTTATTCAGGAGGCCTGACAGAGACTCTCATCCCTTCCACGACGTAAGGTCACAAGAAGTTGTCAGTCTGCAACATGAAAGAGGCCCTCGCCAGAACCTGACCATGCTGGCAGCCTCATCTCAGACTTCCAGCCTCCAGAACTCTGAGAAATACATGTTGGTGGTGGTTACAAGCCTCCCCATCTACGGCATTCTGTTTTAACAGCCCAAACAGACTACGATGTGTGTGAATCCACAGCCTCTTCCTGGCACTTGCTCAGATTTTGCTTTATGCTTTTTTTTTTTTTTTTTTTAAACTGTTTCAAATGTTTTGTGTTGTTTTTCCCGAGAAATTGTAACAGGCTTTCAAGAAACACTTTCATGAATTAATGAGTGGCCTTGGGCAAGTCCCTTGACTTCCCTGGGTCTTTTCAAGTCTGAAAAGGACTGGGATCTCTGCTGCCTCACAGTCGGTACATCTACGTAGCTGACCTCACAATGCAAAGTTTCACTTAAACATACATAAAAGCCTCTTTTGGTCTAAAGTAGAAACATCCTTATAATTCAAGTGACCTTTAACTCTTGACTCTCTGAGATCATTCCCATTCGCTCCACAGATCCACCCTCCATCCTCCACGTAGCTCTACCCTCTGTGGGCAGCATCCACTCAGCTCCCTTGCCTCTGGCTCTGACCGAGGTTGCCTAATGGGAGGCACCAGCATCAGGAGATGGGAGATCTGAGGGGTTCAATGAGGATATTTATTCTCTTGGCTCTTTCCCGGCCAAGCTGCTGTAGGTTGATTGCATTCCTCTACCAGAGACACCTCTCCAGCTACTGTTTCCCATCCTGACAGCCAAGTCCCTCTGTCTTCCTTCTGGGCCTAGGCACAGTAACAGCTCCCTGACACTGCTGGCCCTGGGTGCTTCAGCATCCCTTGTGGGTTTCTCTGAACTCTGCCTGCATCCTTATAAGTAGTCCCTTCGGTAGAGCCCCTTCAATTCCCCCCTTTGCACAAGCCACATGTTTCCACCTGGAACCCCGAGAGATGAGGGCTTTAAAATTAAATCAGAATCAGGCACAATAAAAAAGAAACTGAAGCAATCAATTCTAAGCCTCACATAAGAGGAATGGAAAGTGTGGCACATGCCAAGAAAACAAAACCACACACACCGAAACAATCAAATCAGATACCACCACCCGCCTTCCCCACTGTCGCCGAGACCGTGTGGAGGACGGAGCCATCTCCTGCTGGATCAGGGTTTACACCTGAATAAAAGCTTAAAATTCTATTGACCCTTGAAACAGTTTGTGAGGGGCCCAGCAGAGGAATCACAGCTCTGTGCCCATTTTATGGAGGGACAAACTGAGAATGGAAGGGATCATGAGGTCAGAGCTGATATAAACATGAGGAATGCCCCAGGGCCAGCTAAGACTCCTGAGTCCAGGAGCCCGCCTACGGCAGGCTCTGTGGAGCTTCCCACAGCAGCCTTCTATACCATGACTCTCCAGAGATGCATCCAGACATTTTTAATTCCTTCTGAACACTTCTAGAACTACCATTTGGGGAGGTCCATTGGATCCTCAACTATTTACAACTCTGTGAAATGAAGAGAGACAAGACACCCTCTCCCCCGTTCCAGAAGCTGCCAAAAACCAGTATATGAATCCACAATCCCTGACCACTTCCCAGAGAAAATTTTCTGGAAATCTATGGATTTCCAGGACCAGAGCAGCCCTTCTCTGCTTCTTGGGGCATTCTCTGCACCACGTGGGTCCAAAAATGGTCTTATGATTGCTTTGTGTAAAATGTTCCAACATCAGGAATTCCCGAGAAGCTACCTGTTTGAGGATGAAGAGGCTCAATCTTTCAGGGTTGTCCTGCTTCTGCGTCTTCTTCCTTCAGCATCCTCCACAGCCAGGGCCTGCAGGGGTGACCCAAAGAGCACAGTCAGGATATCTGGCTTCAGAATGAGGAACAGTGAGTATCGATCAGGGAGAGACCAGAGAAGTGACCCAGGATGGAGCCCGAAAGATCCCAGTGGCTGATGGGCCCACCCAGGAGGAGGACCCGGCAAAGGCTGCTGGGTAAAGTAAAAGTAAAAGCCAAAATCCTTGAAATGGCCATGGTTGGCCAGGCGTGGTGGCTCACATCTGTCATCCCAGCACTTTGGGAGGCCAAGGTGGGTGGATCTCAAGCCAGGCCAACATAGTGAAACCCTGTCTCTACTAAAAATACAAAAAATTAGCCGGGCATGGTGGTGGGTACCTGTAATCCCAGCTACTTGGGAGGCTGAGGCAGGAGAATCGCTTGAACCCGGGAGGTGGAGGTTGCAGTGAGAGGAGATGGCACCACTGCACTCCAGCCTGAAACTCCATCTCAAAACAAAAACAAAAACAAAAAAAAGAAATGGCCACGGTCCACACGACTTGACTGGGCCTCTTCCCTGACGGACTGAGGCACCTGACCTCTTCTCCTCCTACTCTACCCTTCCTCAATTTCCTCTAGCCACAATGGCTTCTTCAAACATCCAAGCAGGCTCCTGCCTCAGCCCTCCACACTTGCTCTCCCCCATCCCTGGAGCACTGTTCCCCCAGGCATCCGGCACTTCCTACAGCTCTCTGCTCCCATGTCCTTTGCAGTGAGACCCACCTCCAACCCCGGCCCCCTTCCTAGCTTCCTTCCCTCTTATATATTTCTCTTTGCAACCCTTATCACCACCTGACATTTATTTATTTTTTTCATCCCTTTTTCGCCACTTCCCTTAGACTGTAAACTCCCTGAGAGCAGGAACATCGTATTATGGTATGCCCAGAGTCTGGCACATAGTAGGTGCTCAAGAAATAGCTGTTGAGAGATTTTGTATGATGGAATCAAACAAGCCAAGAAAAGAGAGAGCTGCAGGAAGGAGGAAGCTGCTCACAGTGTCAACAGCAGCAAAGAGCCCAGACAGATAAGAACTGAAGTGTCCGTTGCGTGTGGCAACGTGGTGGCTGCAGGTAACCTTAGAGAGGGCAGCCCCTGCAGAAGGCAGGAGGCCTCTGCAGCAACCTCATCAGTCCCTGCCCTGGACCAGGCACAAGGCCCCACAGATGGAGGCCAGACTACGTGGGCTGTGTCAGTGAGGGCAGATTATATCCACAGGTCCATCTGTGAGGGGAGGAGACGAGAGAAAGTGAGGCTGAGGCGGGTGAAGCCCTGAGGAAATTGCTGCTACAGGACTGAGGGGTGAGGTCCCAGGGGCTGCAGGAGGCAGGGGGACCCCTGTACAGGGAGAGGGTTCTCTCTCGCCAGGAGGGAGGATGTCTCTTTCTCTGAGTACAAGGAAACCAGGTGGGAAGGAGCCCAATGCAGGTCAGCACACAGGAGGGAACCCGAGTGGGCTCGCCATGGAGTGACATTTTCTGTGAACAGAGAAGCCAGGTGGTCTCCTGAGTGGAGAAGGGCAGATAGGAGAGGAGGCTGGTGTGCATGTCCCACTGTGTGTATCAAATGCGGCGTGGCCCTAAAGCCCAGCACTTCCCAACATTGGTGCCCTAGGTGGCTCACTCTCTCACCCTAGTCCCCACCCTGACTGGAGGCAGACACCTGCTGGCCAGCATCCCAGAGGGCCCCGCTCCAACCAGAGGCCGTGGTTTCGTAGAGGTGCACTCTACATGGATGTGGGGTTTTCTGTGACAGCCCTCAGTAGCCAGGGTTTAGGAGGACAAGTTCTTAAAGCCGAATTCAAACACCCCAAGCAGTTCCATCCCTTTCCATGAAGGCTTTGTCATTCTCCCAGGCTCCGAGATTCAGAACCTCATTCTCCACTCCCCTCATACCTCCTGGTCACAAAACGATGCCTCTCACCGCATGAGAAGATTCATTATTCCTTGAGCACCTACAAAGTGCTGGGTGTGCTACAAGTTAACAAGAGTCCTGTGAAGCGTTTTTAGCCTCTATCTATAGATGACAAAACAGGTTGAAAGAGATGGAAGTGCTCAGGGCCACACAGGTGGCAAGTAGCAGAGCTGAGATTTGAAACCTTCCACCTGTCTCGTCTTTTCTACATACACTACCGCCACCCTAGTCCAAGTCCTCAACATTTCATTCCTAACCCCCGACATGATAAACGTCTCCTAACTTATCAGCACTGCCCATTCGCAGTTCATAAATCCAGACGGACCTTCTTACAGCATTGCATTTACCAATCCCGGCCCCAAACTTTGGCTTCGGAGATTCCTCAATACAGGAACCTTCCAAACTCCACAGCCATCCCTTGGGATCCTTCCTAAATGGTGCACGTGTCCTTCTTCAATCCTGTTTCCCATGTGGACCTCTGCTCACCCCATCTGTAATCCCCTGCCCAGTCCATGCACCTCGCCCAGGTCCCAACACCCAGCACATTCCTCCCCTGCAGCTCTGCCCTCTGGTCACCCAGCTCCAGCCCTCTGGATCTGCTGGGTGCTGGGTGCTGGGTCTCTGGGTCTGCAGTCTGCTGGCTGGCACCAACCCAGCTCACTGAGCTCTCCTGGCTCTTCTGAGCTCACTGCATTTAGCTTCTCTGGGCAAGAGTTCCCTGTGCCCAAGTGGAATGCAAGCCTCTTGAGGGCAATGAATAGGGTTGAAAATGCTTACAGTTGCCCACTGCTCAACACAGTGTCTCAGTTATTTGATCCACAGAACAATCCTGATGCTCAGGTGATACGATTCCAGAGGTTTTTCAGAAAATACAGGAGAACCAAGATGGGCAAGTGAAGGGACGCAGGGCCTTCTTGAAGTTGGGAGGCATACCTGCTCTTCCTATATAGGAGGCACCAGAGTCCGGCACCTTCTAACAGCTGCTCTAACAGGGAGGAGGGCGGCTGGATTTGGCTCCCCTCTCCTCTTCCTGCACCTGCATATTCAAGGTCTTGGTGCCCTTCCTTTGCCACCCTTTCACATGCTTTTGCAGACATACATAGATATACTCTCTTCTTCCTTCTTCAAGGGAGAGCTTGAAATGTAAGGAATCCAGCTGTGTGGAGAAGCTGCTGGTGACTAGCAAAGCAGTCAGGGCTCAGCGCCCAGAAGCAGGGAAAAGAATATTCTATTTCTGAGAAATGAGGAGCTGGACTGATTCACTTGGATCACCAGCTACAGACTACCATCTACCAGTTCTGGGATTCCCAGAGCCACAAGGGGATGGGAAAGGTGAAAATCAGCAAAGCACTCAGGGCCATCCAGTTACCCCAGGCAGACAGATGGGCAGGCCTGGGTAACAAGGGGCTGAGAGAAAACCATGGGTTTCAAGGGGATGCTGTCACCAAGATGCCCCAAAAGAAATCAGGATCTACCCAAACCAGGAGCAACCAAAGGGGAAGCATGCTCCTCAGGACTTAGCTGAAGTCACAGGAGCACTGGAGTCAGGTCTGGGATCAAATCCTGACCTCATCGGCCAGGTCAGCCTTCACCTCTTGGGAGTTGTGGCTCTGCATGAGCGAGTGTGAGGCCTAAATAAAACAAGTGTATAGAAGCATCATCTGCAGCACAGTGCCTGGCCTTACATAAGGGGCCCACTCAGTGTTGCTCCCCTCCCCCTTTCCAGGCTTCAGACCTCACAGCTCTCTCTACCCTTACTAACAGAAACAAGCACAGGGCTACAGAGCATTTCCCAGCAAGAAGGTTTGCAAAGAAGGACGGCAGAAGTCTGCAAAGGAACAAACAGGCCGCCCCACTGCTGGTAAGAGAGAAGCGCCGGACCTCGGTGAATGCCCAGGTTTCAAAACACACAGAGCTGCGAGCCTCCGATCGTACCTAAACAGGAAGTTTGTGACAAACTTAGAAAACACGCATGCACAGTGGCAGGAGGCCACACACCACTGAGAAAAGATGAAATCCGGCCCTGCAGGGGGCTCTATGTGGAGGAGAAGGAGCCTGCCCAGCCCAAGCTCCCAAGGCACCAAGATCTTCCCGGCTGTCAGGAGGCACCCTTACCCTGGGCTTCTCCTCACCCAAAGCACGGGAGGGATTTGGGCCAAACCGTGTGGAGCTGCTCTGGTTTCCAAAGCCAGGCTCTGCTCACCCTGTCCTGCTCTCTCTCCTGCCCCTACCCACTCAGGCATCTAGGACATTAAGCACCCCCAACAGCTAGCAAGGGGCCTGGTGACTGAGGTGTGTGTGTGGTAGGGGACCATTTTTCAGCTGGGAGATCTTAGCACAGAAAGGGGAAGTGACATGCAGCGGTCCCGCAGAGCTCCCGTCCTCCATCTGATCTCCCTCCGGCCACCCAGCCAGCGTCTGTGTCATCGGGGCCGCCTGCAGCATTCCACAGTGGGGTCCTCAGCGGCCACCTCCTGCCCCTTTGACATCTTGCCTGGCCCTAACATTTTGACTTGCATTGTTCACACTAGCATGGGACTTGGTAACGTCAGTTCATTTATCTGAAAGTGCAGGCAACTGTGGACACAATCTGTGTCATCTCAAGCAGAGGACAAACTAGGAAGCTCCTTCCCCTCTGTCCACAATCTCTCAAGTGTCCACAATCCACTTCTGCCAGTGGATGCGCCCTGCGTCCAGGCAGTATGTTTGGTGTCGGAGCTCCAGTAAATACCGGTAGCTTCATAAACAACATCAAGACCTTCCTATTGCACCTCCCCAACCAGGCTATGTCCTACTTGTCTCTGACTCACCCTCAGCAAGGACGGGTCCCTTCCATCCTTCCTGAGTGGAGGGCCCAGCTGCAAACTCGGTCTCCCGATGGTTGGCCCCTCAGCGCCCCCACACTCAGCACCTCCCTCAGTGGTTTCCTCGCCCCCCCAAGTTAGGTTCCTTTTTAAAAAAATGACTCATTTAGGAAGAGACAAAACCAAGAACTTCAATGGTAAAGATAAAACGGCAAGCACCAAGACTCTAAACACCTCCCACTCCATGTAGAATTTAGATCCGATAAAGCTTCCCCAAACTGGACCTCCTAATTTGGAACTTACGGTATACACAATTCTTCTAGCAAAGACACTTCCAGTAATGTCTTAATGTTTCAGTGTCTTCTTTACAAATAGAGAATGGCCCCAGAACTCCAAGCGGTAGTTTTTTCAAAATGAGGGTAAGGGAAATTAAAGATTAAAAGTCCATGCTTTCAACTTCTGGGTCAAACAAGCAATTATTTGATGTTTTACTACATTTATGATTCTAATTTATTGATTGCGGGACACAGGCATTATATCACGGGCCTAATGAGAATTATGGGGAGTTTTTTAATGAAAAATGACTTCTTGGTATGTAAAAGGTTTATGACATTTGTGCACAGTATCTGAAAGGAATGAAATTATATGATACAATTCAGAGAACCATAACACTTTAATCTAAAATGAGCAATTAAGATGACCCAAATCCAAGGGTTCCCACTGTTAGCTGCATTTCTGAAAAAATTTTCAGGTTCCCAAAATTCTGACACTTTCGGCCTGGAGTGGAGTCCTGGCATCAACTGGGTTCTTTTATAAGTTTCCTAGTGATTTTAAGGTGCCTATCATGTTGAGACCCACTTATCTGCAGATAAAAAGGCTGGCATCTAAAAAAATCTGGCTGGGCACAGTGGCTCACGCCTGTAATCCCAGCACTTTGGGAGGCCAAGGTGGACGGATCACAAGGTCAGGAGATCGAGACCATCCTGGACAACATGATGAAACCCTGTCTCTATTTAAAATACAAAAATTTGCTGGGCCTGGTAGTGCACGTCTGTAGTCTCAGCTACTCAGGAGGCTGAGGCAGGAAAATTGCTTGAACCCGGGAGGCAGAGGTTGCAGTGAGCCGAGATCGTGCCACTGCACTACAGCCTGGCGACAGAGCAAGACTCCGTCTCAACAACAACAACAAAAATCTGAGGAGGCTGGGTGCAGTGGCTCACACCTGTAATTCTAGCACTTTGGGAGGCCGATCACTTGAGGTGGATCACTTGAGGTCAAGAGTTCCAGACAAGCCTGAGCAACATGGTGAAACCCTGTCTCTACTAAAAATACAAATGTTAGCTGGCACAGTGGCAGGTGCCACCCAGCTGTTTGGGAGGCTGAAGCAGATAATCGCTTGAACCTGCAAGGTAGAGGTTATAGTGAGCCGAGATCAAGCCACTGCACTCCAGCCTGGGCAACAGAGCGAGACTCCAACTCAAAAAAATCTAAACAAACAAACAAACAAACTGAGGAGCAGTTCAAAACTGCACAGTCAGTCAGGGCCAAAACCAGAACCGAATCTAAAATCTACATCCCCCCTCAATCCAGTCTGGTTCTACAGTTTTGCCCAGGGTTTTGGTATCCACAGATTTGCTAAAACTTTTTTTTTTTTTAATAAACAAACAAACAAACAAAAAAGGGGACTGACTAGGGCTGCCAATTTTTGTTTTGTCAAGCAAGGGTGTTTTACAAATATCTACCAGTTATTATACTATCACCACTTCCTGAGGTGTTTCTTGTCCATTTGCATACATGTTGCCCCCTCTGGCCCAATCCCCACCCAGGAGGTAAAATTTCACAATATCTGGCCCCTGCCCACTGTTGCATTCACCTTCACTCACCCTGCTCCTTATTTGACAAATCCAATCAAAACCAAGGCCTAAAAAATTCTCCATCTCCTCCTTCTCTAACTCCAGTTTCTGAAAGCCTCTTCTCTGACCACAAATTACTTCCTAGTCCCTCTAAACCTGCTCTTCACCTTCCTCCTGACCTCCACATGACAACATCTGTACAAGCCATACAAACACTTTTGCTGTTCCACACACATTATCCCTTCTAAATGTCTCCCTAATCAATGATATACCAGCAACTATTAAAAGAGGCTGCCTCTGAGGAGCAGACTTAGGGGGTAAATAATGGAGGCAGGGGAAGGGGGGAGTCTCTTTATACTCCATTCGAATTTGGAGCATGCATGTATTCTTTTCAATGGACACATACACACAGCAGGTAACAAAATGCATCTTTGATTTGCTTCTGTATTTATAAAAACACAGAAAATTGTCTGGGAAGTATATATGCCCAGGTTCTAAATGTAAATAATATCTGAGTGGTGGGATTATGGGTGACATTACTTCCACTTTCCTTTCCTCTGTGTTATCTTTATTATGTTTTATTTACATAACCAAAAAACACAAAAACTTCAAAACCTGAACCAGAGCGAGGCGTGGTGGCACACCCCTATAGTCCCAGCTACTTGTGAGGCTGAGGCAAGAGAATCACTTGAGTTCGAGTGCAGCCTGGGCAACATAGCAAGATCCCATCTCTTAAGACAAAAACTATGAACAAAGGCATTATCTGATGTCTGAAACCTACATAGTATTGAAAAGCAAAGGCACCAGAGCAGGTCACAGACTGGCATAGAGAATTATCTCTTTTCTGTAAAATGAAGGGTCAGACCCTCCTCGCTTCTATGCCCGGCCTGGGCCCTGAATCTACTACTGCCACTGACCTCAGGCCACCCTGTGGCCCTGCTGGCCCCCAAAAACAGATGCAGAAGAGATGTCCTCGCACAGGCATAAAGCCGCTTCCAGAGCCTCTCTGGCCTCAGGTTACCCCCCACTACCCCTCCCTGCTCCCTAAGGAGGGCCAATTATCCTCTCCTGAGTGTTTCCTCTGAGCTCTGGTTTTCTCTGTTTTCCTCTGTGTTTTTCCTCTATGCTCCCCAAGCCTTTTTGAGTCTCTGCAAACGGGAGCAGCCACATATGATCCAAGTAACCCTCAAGTTCACAACCTGTACATCAGGAGCCCAGAAACTCTTTAGATGGAGTGTAAACCATGGGATTCTGCACAGTTCCCATGGCTCCCTAATGTTTTACAAGGCAGAGAAGAAGGGTGGCAGAGTGCTCCAGGCACCAAGAACAGAAATGAGAGTTCAAAGGCCTGCAGGTCAGAGGTATATGGTATGCTCAGGCAAGATAAAGGCATTCAGGATAACTGGAGTGTCTCTGAGCATGCCCAAGGTCTAGCAGAGAGAAAACTCCAAGGAAACTTACCAAAATTCACGAGGGCCAGCAAAGAAGGGCCAAGCGAAGAGCTCTCAACCTTTCATCTGCTGTGCCTCCTTCCAAATGCTTCCTCACTTGATCTACTCTTCCAGTGTCTAGGAGGATCTAGGCCAACAGGAGTGGGTGGCAAAATAGGAATAGAGAAAAAAGAAATGAGATTAAGCAACCCCACACAGGAGGCAGGCTAGGGTCCTCCCAGTGCAGTGGTTCCTGAGGTGGGGCGACCTTGATGCTCAACCCCCTCCTTGGTATCAGCTCCAAAGGCAAAGGACATTTGCAATGTATCCAAACTTCTGGAGCTCTCAAGGTAGCTTTTTAAAGAACTTTGAGACTTCAAGAGTGCCAAAACGCAGGTTGGCCATGCTCAATTAGATGCATCTGTGACCTGTGTAAGACCTTTTGGGGAGCCCTATTGAGCTGGACTAGCATTCAGCCCCTGTCCGATAAGAAGGAAGCTGTTGGAAATTCTGTTTCCTTAAATGTCCCCCTCTATTGTGCAAGCTTATCTGTTTAGGGGGAAATTCTGCCCTGTAGAGAGTGCTGTTCTGTTTAAGTAGGGGGTATGTACCTGTCTTTCCCCGTCTCCTCAAAACCTCAACTAAGGCCAAGCGCGGTGGCTCACGCCTGTAATCCCAGCACTTTGGGAAGCTGAGGCAGGTGAATCACTTGAGCTCAGGAGTTCGAGACCAGCTTGGCCAACATGGTGAAACTCCGTCTCTACTAAAAATACAAAAATCAGCTGGGCATGGTGGTAGGTGCCTAATCTCAGCTACTCAGGAGGCTGAGGCAGGAGAATAGCTTGTACCCAGCAATCAGAGGTTGCAGTGAACTGAGATCACACCTCTGCAGTACAGCCTGGGTGACAGAGCAAGACTCAGTCTCAGAAAACCCCCCCAAAAACCCCTCAACTAGACTGTAAGATTCTACTAGAGTCAGCTCTAGCTTCTGCGTCTTCACTTTCCTTTAAGAAAGTCCTCCCTGTTGGCTTTCACTGAGCTCTTATTAACCAAGTAGAAAGCCAGTTTTCAAATCCATCAGCTCCTACATGATACTTCTGTCCAGCAGCTATGGCTCTCACTGAGCTGCGGTGACAGTTCCGTGATGGAGTTCCTTCAGGCCTCAGAGTGGCAATGACTTCCCCCCATAGGGCCATCCCCCGTTACCATCTAGAGTACAGTCCCTGGGTGCCATATCCTCCCAGTCATTTCCCTTCCCCCTGACTAATTTACTTTATTAAAGTCTCTTCGGCTGGGCTCGGTGGCCCACACCTGTAATCCCAGCACTTTGGGAGGCTGAGGTGGGTGGATCACCTGAGGTCGGGAGTTCGAGATCAGCCTGACCAACGTGGCAAAACTCTGTCTCTACTAAAAAATACAAAATTAACTGAGCATGGTGGCCACACACCTGTAATCCCAGCTACTCAAGAGGCTGAGGCAGGAGATCTGCTTGAACACAGATGGTGGAGGTTGTGGTGAGCCGAGATTGTGCCACTGCACTCCTGCCTGGGCAACAAGAGCAAAACTCAGTCTCACAAAAAAAA